CACACACACAGAGACACATATATACATATACATACACACACATACACACACACACAAATACAAACAGAGCCCAGTCCGAACCACACAAAAAAAACTTAACAATTTAATTCTTTTCTGAATATTTCGCACAGATTTATACTAGAATGTTGTAATTTGGAACAGATATAATTCAATCAAAAGGAATTTGTTTGATATAAAATTAATGAAGCAGAAACTGTTTTTCGAAAACGGAAATGGCTTTTATAAAAACCACCCAAAACCGCAAAATGCACCAATTTAAAAGATCTTGTAAGGAGTCATGAAGTGATTGGTTTGTTTTTTCACTTCCTTTATAAAAATATATTTTCTCCTTCCCTATAACGCTTAAACAATATTTCTTTTGTTTTACAGCGTTTTAAAAAAATAATTCTGAAATTCCGAGAACCAGTGTGGTTGTGAGATGAGGAAAGCCACGCCCCTTTTCCCTCCCCCTCCCTTTAGGACTCGACACTTTATAACGGTCTTTCGTAAAGTTCAGTGATGGCCGAACAAAATAATACACCCAACCATGAGCGCTCGAAGTCTCCCCCCCCCCCCCAGCTTCAAAACACACTGTATACCTTACAGCGTGGAGTTGTTTCTGGGACAATAAGGGGGCAGGGGCGGGGATACCAAATAGATAGCATTTGTGGAGTTAAAATCCTTAAAGGTGAATATTGGCTTAGCCAAGAAACCAAATGTCATAGGAGAATTTTTAATGATCTCACTTTTCAAAACGATCTAGGAATCCTAAACATATTTATTATTACTATCCTCTGATCCATCTCAGCTTCACGAACAGGAAAATGGTACAGTCGTAGACGAAGGTCTACCTTGAGAATGCGAACCGTTGACATGTAAAAAAACAATAAAACGTCCAAGCTGCAGACATCAATGCGGACAGACGTCTCATGGGACTCTCCAACTGAACTGTGCACCCTGGTGACGTTTAAATGGGTGCAAACGGCGTGTGTCTGGCTTTTATTTGGCGCGTGCGCGCGCGGCACAAACATAAACATCTCGAAAATAAAAGACAAGTGTCGTTTTTACTGGAATGACTCACGTGGTACGTAAGGGGGATAATTCCACTGGTTCTTGCCGCAGACTCCGGGGGTGAAACTGGACGGTTCACTCATGTCCTGGGTGGGACAACAGGTAGACGGTTAGGACATGGATATCTCACTGATGGATTTTTTAGGACATGGATATCTCACTGATGGATATTTTAGGACATGGATATCTCACTGATGGATATTTTAGGATATGGATATCTCACTGATGGATATTTTAGGACATGGATATCTCACTGATGGATATTTTAGGACATAGATATCTCACTGATGGATATTTTAGGACATGGATATCTCACTGATGG